TCCCATCTGTCCTCTTTACAGGCCCCAGCTCTATTCAAAAGTTAATAGACTTAAGGTAACATTCTTACTATTAGGTTTTTGTACCTATCAACTCCTAATTGATGCAGTTATATTTTCTGTTCACCAGGTAAATCGTAAGCGTTGTATCTTTGAAAAACCAAAGCTAAAATAGTACACTTGAAGGCAAACTACCCTGAAGTGATAAAGAGGAGGTGGAATTAACATACTGGAAACCTATTCCTCATGAACTTACATGAGGGGGCATCGCTTCCATCTCATCTGAGTAAAGCAAAGGACAATGACGGTTTTCTTAAAGGTCAACATGTATAAAAAGGGAAAATAAAGATGAAAAGTAGGGTTTTCTCTAAATATCACTATTAAAGGGATCATTCAGCAAGTTCCGCCAAAATGAACTGATGGGAAGAAAGGACGGCAGACAAGTTACCAAACTTATGAACGTTAGAGTAAGAGCAGAAAAGAGTCAATTTACCTGACAACAGGTGGGTTTTGGATGTCACCAAACTGCTGCGTTTACCATTTTACCCGCTTGCATTACTGGGGGGAAAAGTTTAGGAAGAAACATTCTCAAGGACTTTTCATAAGGTCTCACTCTTGCCATCGGAAAGGGGAGAAGGGAAGGTTTTCTCTGGATTGTTTGACTTTTTTGGTTCCTGAAAAGTTTTGCAAAGAACAGTAACAAAGTGTGAACTGTTAGAACACATTTCTGCAAAAAAAAGGGAGAATAAGTCACACAAAATAGAGCAATGAATCCCACCCAAAACCCACGCATCTTATTTGTGTCATCAGTTTAAAAAAAATAAACAAAACAAAAACTTTTCAACTCAAATTGGAAATATAAGAGGCTTGGAGACATCCAACAGCAGGCCAAGAGTCCCCATCAGAACGCTCCAAAAGTCATCCTCAAAGGTTAAGAAAGAAAACAAAGGAAAAGGCAGCAAACATCTGGTTATAAATCCTGCAGTGTTCAGTTTAAAACAATTCTTACAACAGTGAAAAAAATAAAATTCAAAAAAAAGAGACAGTAGCAACAGAAGTTACCTGTCCGAGCACCTACTATTCCACAGAGAGAACAGGAGTTGGTCTTGTGTCTCACACCAGCCATAAAGCTCATAAACCTTCTCAGAAAGAGCGAGCCGTGAGAAAGTTACTGCACATGCGATTTGTTTTCAAAGTCTCTCTAAGCGCTTAAGGTCCCTCATGAATTTAACTGACAGATTTTTGCAGTAAGGAGGAGAAAAGATTTAGCAAACGTCACTGGTTTCATCTGATGGATTTTGAAGTCCAGTATAACATATGAAGAAGTAACTCCTTTGGGTCTGACAGACACAGATGTTCCAGAGCTTATTTCCTGAGTAAGTATCACACACGGAAGGTGGCACAAGAAGTGGGAGGAAATGCTCCAAGAGTGATCATCAGCTCAGAACAAAAACATTAACAGTCCACATATGCATCAAGCACTGGCATTGTGCTAGAGATGAGGTGGTGTAACATTCCAAAAAAAATTTTATAAAGCACATTAAAGCATTAAACACAAGGCTTGAGATACAATCCGTACATTGGCATAGCGAGACATCAATTATAAACAGGGTAAGTTGAACAGACGAAAACCTTCAGTGTTACAAAGAACAAAATTTAATCATATGTAATTTAAGAAATTACTCTTGCAAACACAAGTTTCTAACTGTCTCTTTCAAACATAAAATACACAAAAGTAGTTGTATCACTATCAGCTGTATCAGCACTATTACAATCCAGTACTACATGGACCATGTTTTCAGCACATGCCTCCAAACCCACATACGGAGGTAGCATTAGTGCAACTGTATGAAAGTTTAGCACGTGTTTCTCAGCATATGGAACCAGAGGAAGCACAGTGTACATAAAGCTGACATCTGCAATGTCCACCTTTATGGGAAACACTGCCTGATTACCACAGATTAGATTTGTTGGCATTTTTTCCTTCTAAGCATGAAGAAGACAGCCCTGTCGCACACCCAGCACATTCTATGCATTTCAGTCGCTTAGCAGTGGGCAAGTAGGGAGTAAATCCATGAGACAAGTGTGCCCATTTGTACCAATGAACCCTCAAGTAAGGTTTGCATGGAGTATCAATACCCAGTGTCCAAATAAATGTACATGGCGTTTAAAATCTTGTCTCCCTGCCTGCTACGCGTAGACTTATCTCCAAACTAGCACTGGAAGCACCAACCAAGGACCATCTTATCCCAAGGGAATCAATCTGTAAGTCTCCTAATCCACTGTCTCTTTCAAAAAATATTATGCTTACTTCACAAATTTTACTACTGTGAGGTGTAACATGGACATTCTGAAAGGGTGATGGAGATGTAAAGTTTATGTGAGCCACAAAACACTATTGGGAGACTCAAAAAACCAGTCTGGAATGCTCAGTCACCAGCCCTTTCCTCTGAAATACGTTCCCTGTGATAGAAATACAGAGGTCTCACTATACCACCTAGCACATTTACTCCCTGCTGTTACTCTACATGTGCTCAATGGGTGCCTATCAGCCTCAGCACACACCTATTAGTAAAAAAAAAAAAAAAAAAAAAGAAACCAACCAAAAAAATCCAACCAAAAAAAACAAAGCCACACCACCCCCCAAATTCCCCTTAGATAAATAAGCAAGGGAAGAAGAGCCTCTGGAAGTGTCAGTTTACTGCTCAGTGACTAGAAAATTAGGTTTCTTTCATGTTCTGTGGTTTTGCAACTCTTCATGGAAGTTAAAGATCTTTATATTCTTCAGGTATAACCTATGAGCTTGAAGGCTTCGGAAGAAAGATTTGAAAATACCTTTACCGCTGAAGCTCCTTTTGTTGCTGGACCAGCGGTCCGCTCTCCTGCTTAACACCAACAGTCAACCTTTCACTTGATTTTAGTAATAATATTTAATTCTACAAAAAAAAAGCCATTTTATTACATTCCTTTTAAAATAAAAAAAAAACCCAAGCTGTACAAAGAAGCATGATCAAACCTCCATAAAGCAGGTTAATACTGTTCTGTTTATTGCCTCTTGAAGACTCTCTGCATAGTGTCCGTGAGTTGTGTTTAAGGTCCCAGTGAAGATAAAACAGCAGAGCAGCAGAGAAGTGAGGATGGGCCACAGATGTGGGCAGTGCAGAGCCTCAGAGGGTACATGGGACATGCTCCATTAAAGTATCCAGAAAACAGCAGCATTGCACACACACAACCCCCCTCCAAACAAACCCTATTTTCACAAGATTATTTTTCAACTGTAAACGTGTTAACTTTTTGTTTTTTTTAAAAAAAAGAGGCTTATCTTTATATATATATATATATCTATATATCTATAGTTCCAGGGCTTTATGAACCCGGAGAATGAGAAAGGAATTAAAAGGGAGGAGGAGGAAAACAAGAGAGAAGATAGGGGCTGAAAAATGGAACTCAGTATCTGGTTTGGTTATCTGTTTTCCAAAACAGCTCAAGGCTAATGAGAAAATGCACAGTCAGAAGGACTAAGGAAAACCAGGCAGCCTGGAAAAAAATAGGAGCTAAACAGCCAAAACCCAAAAAGGAATAAAGCAAAGCAAATGTGCACACACAAACACGCACAAGTGTGTGCACTCACATCACACACGTGTAAGGGTCCAGGATGAATTCGTTAACTGTGGACCTAGGTTAGATATTTTATTTTTTAATTCTGGCTGAGCTCTCTTTTTTTCCCCCTTTCTTTCTTTTTTTTTTTTAAATTTCTCTTTTTTAAATCTGCTGCGTGTTTCCCAAAGCTAAGAATTGAGTATTTCTCCCCAGTTGTACTCATTGGATTTCTGCCAACATCAGCTTTTATGTTCAGTGGGGAAAAAGCAAGTCTGGTAAGTACTGTATCAACTGCAGCTTTATTCTGATGCACCTCTAGATGTCTAATGACTTTTAACCAATTTTTCCCTCCTCCACACCTTACCACTTTTCCCCTCCCAAAATGGCAAAAATAAAACCAAAGAAACCCAGAACATCCCATCAACGTACAGGCTTAAATTTTAACTCAGTGTTTTCTTAACAAATAGTCTGCAGTGTTTTAACTTTGGCCAATGTTAAAGATGCAGGCATAGAGAAGGGAGTGTTGGACTAGCATGTATTAAAGAAAAAGGAACATTAACATTGCAGACCTCTCTCAAAAAGACTAAAACACTAACAAATACAAGTCGATGCACGTTTGTTTAAACTAGTGTAAGTTCTTTTTCACATTGGATTAAACATTATTTTGTATACCAAACATTACAGTGCTGTTTATCTCCTCCAATCACGTAAAAAAATAGCTGAAACGTGCCACTTCTGCCACAAATAAGAGTATGATCAATTCCCCTACATACCTTCAAAATCAGGATTTGAAATGAGAAAAACACAAGCACTAAAATCCTCCTTCAAAAGCTTTATAATGAAGAATAGACACAAAGCTGTCACTTATACTAAGATGGCACAAATTACAGATTTGTACAGAAAGCTCACGTTAAGTCAGTTGACACTTCTCTCAGCCTCATCATTTGAAAGGCCATATCCTGCAAGGTCAGTAACCGATGACCTTAAATGGATTCTGAACTTACAGCTCCCATCTACAAGAGTAGGAACAGTAAGTGTCCAGGAACTTTGAAATAAGCGGTATTTAACATCTTCAACTTATGCTGAGAATGTGAGGCACTCAGCAATTTACAGGATCAAGCCTTAGAGAGGTAGAAGAGACTTAACTGGTGAAGTAATTCACAAAAGTTTCTACAGAGCTACCAGACAGCTTTCTGAAAATACCAAAGTGTGAGTCATGCTTCAATGCTTGCCCGTGAACACCCATGAACTGCAATACATCTGGGGACAAAAGCAGCATCCAAATAAAATTCCCACTTAAGATTGTGAACTGAGCATCTTCATTAGAAAACTGATGCTGAAGAACGAACACAATTTTGCATTCTGCAAAAAAAGTAGGGGCAGTAATCACAGCACACCCGCCCCGCCTTTCCTCGTTCCTCTGAGCCTCTCTGATAAACAGCATTGCAAGTTGGTTAAAAAATAAAACTTTACAAGAGAGAGTTCTGTTGGTCACCTATTTACACGTGGCATCACTCCACAAGAAGTTTGATCTCATTGGCTATTAGCTGGTTCATATTGAATAGAGCCCCCGGGAGCTTGGTGAGCAACTCTCTCTCCGTGGTCTCAGGGTCGCTGTCGACAGAGCTGGAGCTAGCACTCATATTGTCGACAGCGGCACTAGCTGGAGGGCCCAGCTCTGGCTCGCTAGTCTCGCTTGCCGTGGACACCACGGAGAGCAAGGACATGCGCCGCGTCAAGCGACCGGGGGTAAGGAGAGAAGCGGCATAGTCCGCTATGATACCAGCTACATCTAGATTACAAGCCTTGTCAAAGGCAATGAAACCTACATTTGCATTGGCCTCGCAGACGTAGAAAGAGCCGTCGTCCTTCATCAGCAGATCAATGCCACACACGTCCATCCCCAGGATGTTGGACACTTGGACCGCCAACTGCTTGCCTTGTTCACTCAATGAGCACATCATCCCTACGCCACCTGGAAGAAGTGAAAAAAATCGTGCTGTCTATAGTCTGGCCAAAGGCGACCACGATCCTTCTCAACGGGCTGGTGCTTTTCAGTTGGGAAGCTCCAAAGCAAGCTTGCAAGCATATTGCTGATGACTCAAAAAGCTCCTTTCCATAGTGACTACTAATGAACTTGAAGCTACAGCAGGATTTCAAAAAATTACAACCTGCCAAAGACAGGTCAAGCTTACAACTTGTTTAAAAAACAGTTAAGTGCTGACCTTTTAGTCAAGAAAAGTATCGTACATTTCTATGATCCTGAAGACTAATAAACCACTCCTGATCCTTCTAAGGCAAAGGTTTACCACAAGGAAACTTTCAGCAAAATTAAACCAAGTGTTCCTGACTACATCTCTAAAAGATGTAGTTGAGGGGGACATTATCATCTGTTCATGTCTCTCTCTCAGCTTACTATCATAGGTTACTGTCTCTAAAGTGAGAATTAGAGAACACTTGTGTCTGAACCTCAGCTAGTCCAGTTAGGAGTCCATCAGCTAAATATTAACCAACACAGACATCAGTCATCACAACACTTACCTTTAACAAACAGCAAACAATAACAAACAAAAAAAACATTCAGCAGAAAAATCTTTCAAGCTGTACTTCCTCAGCATCAAGTAGTAACTCTCAGGCATTTTGCCTAATCAAAACTGTACTATGCATTAACACATTTTATCCCATCCCTGCTCAGACTCAGTACAGTTTCAGACAGGCAACCTCAACCCTCCTTTTTTCCTTATACCCTCAAAACGCCCTCCCCTTCCCCCATCCTACACCCAAAACTATGGAGAAGCTCAGTTCTGAGTACGCTACAGTCAAAGCAGTAAACTTTTCCTCCCAGACACGGACTTTGTGTAGAAAGGCTGCAATGGGGAGTCTGATAGACTTCAGGCAGCACAGAAGCTGCACATAGCATTCCAACTGTTTAGTGCCTTCAGCAGTTTCCTCCCTTAACACTCTCTTCAAGCCACTTTTATGGTATCCCTACCATAACAGGGATATGCATCTGTTGAAACAGGTTCAGAGGAGGGCCACAAAGATGATCAAGGAGCTGGAGCACCTCTGCTGCGAGGACAGGCCGAGAGAGCTGGGATTGTTCAGCCTGGAGAAGACTCCAGAGGGACTTTTTAACTGCCTTCCAATACCTCAAAGGAACCTACAGGAGGGCTGGAGAGGGACTTTTTACAAGAGGGTCCAGTAGTAGAACAAGGGGAAGTGGATTTAAACCGAAGGAGAACAGGTTTAGATTGGATCTTCGGGAGAAATTCTTCAGTCTGAGGGTGACAAGACTCTGGAACAGATTGCTCAGAGAGGTTGTGGATATCCCCTCCCTGTAGACGTTCAAGGCCAGGTTGGATGAGGCCTTGAGCAATCTAGTCTAGTTAAAGGCATTTGGATTAGAAGATCTCTTAAGGTCCCTTCCAACGTAAGCCATTTGGTGATTCTCCTGCCAACTGGCTGCCTCCTTCATCTCCCTCAGTTTCTTCTCATCTTCCTTCATTTTCTCTTAACGGGATTAAGTGAACAATAGCACGGCATTACCATGATGCTGCCACTACCACATCAGTTCCTCTGTTTCTGTTCCTACTACATTCCCTTCCCCCTGTCCTATCCAGCTAATACTTTGGGCAGAGATTGTCTCTCCTGTGTTTGCTCAAGGCTCATCTCATTCTCACTCTCTTTTTTCCTCTGTAAACCCCCAACACACAACTATGCAAAATAAAACTTGCTTTATTTCAGCTGGTTTTGCGATTTTTCAACCGATCGAAAAATTCTGACCAAAACTATGAGTAATGCTTTTCCTACCAAGCGAGCAGTTACTCTGCATCCTCCCATCCGTTGAGCAGCGGAGCATGGTGCCCACCACACGGCCTCCTACTACGATGACACGTACATCCTTGCCATGGGACTCTTTAACGTATTTTTGAAATAAGTAAGGGGCATCGTGACGGATCAAATGGCTTAGGTCTGCCAAATGGTGCTTGTCTCGTGCCAGGAACACAGCTTTACCTGTATGAAGAAAAGAACATTGAAAGACTGGAAGAAGCTACCCATGAGCTGCATCGGTGGCTCAGTGCATTAAAGTAAAACTTCTGACCAGTACACTGTGCATTCTCACAGCCCCATTTGTAGCTTATACCCATTTACAAATTCTTCTGTGGACAAGTGTTCTACTGCTTCAGTGCTTTGAAGTGTTCAGATACTGACAGAGCTGAGGAACTCTATGAGTAGTAAAAGGAAAAAAGGATAGAAGTAGAAAAGAAAGCAGCTTTGGATAAAGGAGGTGGTCTTGTAATTTCAATTCCTTTTGGTACAAGTCCTTAATGAGAGAAAAAAAGGAAGAAATTAAAGAGCAGCAGACAATTAATTAATTAACACAGTTTTGTTCATCCAAGAGGACTGGACCCACAGCCTACACACAGGAACCAAGACATGAAACTGTTAAACGCCAGGCAGCTAAGAACTCTGAAATCACTCATGTGCCACTCCTCCTTCTCCTGTATGACCTCCTAACTCCAGAGTGAGTCTTTACAGTGGAACAACTATATCAAAGGAAAACGCTAGGCTCCATAGTATCAAACATATTTAGCAGAAGATTCTACAAGACACAAAATGAATGGAATGTACTACAATTTATAAACAAAATCCATCTTTAGAAATCACTAGCTTTTCTTCATGTGAACATCTTAAGGACCTGGGTTTAACCTAGAACACACAATTTCATTCCCCTTCATTTCTGAAGCACACCAAAGACTTCTTTATTCTTTTCCAATTTTACTAATACTGATAAAAGTCACTCCTGAAACAGACTCTGTCACTTTCCATCTCATTTCTAGTCCATCCTCAGCTACATTTCCCAGCTCCTCTTCCCCTTTAAGGACTTTTTTTCTGTGCCATATCAGATTTATGTTTTGCAATAAAGCTGCACAATTGGCGTGCTGGGGTTTTTTTGTGGCAGAACTGTCACTCCATTATGCTACAATATTAACAGGGTACAAAAATCAATTGATAAACTGCCTATCTTAACTAAGCAAACAGAAATGCAACAGTAGCAGAATTAGGAGAAATTATATGTTGCAAAGAATTCCACCAAGTGCTCCAAAGCAGCCTTTGCTTTATCAGGATGTAAGGTAAGTAGAACACTGCTTGAATATAGAATTTATCAACACAGAGTTTCAGAAGTAGGCTCAAAAGTCATGACAAGAAAGCAAAAACCTCCATGTGCTTTCCCACACTCCCAATTTTAGCTCTCCTAACTTAATGATCTTACTGTATTTCTAAAATGGGCTAGGAAGAATAATGCCTGGCAGGGTGACTACTTAGTTCTTGGCAAATAAGCCGCATCATAACATCTTGGCAAAACTAAGACTGGCACCTTTGCAGCAGCTACAAACTATGCAGAAAATGGGTCCAGAAGAGTATGACTTATTGATCAGTCAATTCCTATGGCCATGTTTCCCTCTTTGTTTTTTTAATGCAATTTGCAAATGGTTGCTTTTCAATTAATTCAAAGACGTTTCCCCAAGTCTCTTAATATGAAAGGATATGTGCCATGCATAAAATTTCCATTAAAATGTTTGGAATTTTAAGTGCTCTAAAGCAAAAATTGTAAACAGAGATTTACATGAATACTGGCTAAAAAAGAGAGAAAAAATTTAATAGCTGCAAACTCTGTAATTATTTAGTATCTCTGAACAAGAGACACTGTCAAGTCAAATCCACTGTCTCGGATATTCCACAGTTCTCAAATTCAGCTTGTGTGGCAATGTCAAACTCCAACTTTGCTTCTTAGCTCCACAAGCACATTAAAACCATATAAATGGGTATTACTGCCAAGAGAAGGCAGTCTGATCTATCTCTGTCCCAGCCTTTTGCTCTCACTCTTCCATTATATCGACACAAGCATTTGTGCGAGTAAATGTTAATTCATGTAAAGAATTGATCCAAACAAAAATAACTCAACTAGATTCATTCAACATCAGTTCCTGAATCCTGAATTCCACTACACAGCTACAGAAATATTCATGGCAGGAGAGATGCACCAGAGCAACAAGCTGATGGACAACAAGAAAGACAGACGTGGTGTCTTTTTGCATACTTGTAAAGGTAACTGCTGGTTTATGTGCCTAATATTTAGGTTGCAGTCTCTTTTTACTTCTAGTATTTATTAAATTGGTTTTAAAGTAAATTAAAAGCAGTCCAACCTCCTGTGCAAATAACATCTGACATATATTTTAAACCTGGTTTCCTTTGGTGGATTACTACCGAATATGAAACAAAAACAATGTATAGTTTCATATTCAACATTTAGAAAGACTAAGAACAATTTAATCTGAACCAGCTTTATTATCACCAGTACTGTCAGAGATATTTTTCTGAGAAACTGATCCAATCCGACAAATAATACATGAGATAATACATGAGATTTTATTTAAATCATAATCCTAATTACAGACAAAGTCAAACAGGAAAAAAGTCAAATTAAGACTGAATGAACTAAGATTCCATTTCTTATGCCTATTTATAAACATCCCTAAAACCCACACAGGCTTCTCTCTACTTCCCGAAGGCCAGATGTTCCATTATTCCAGTACAAAGATTTCATCACAGAAGTCATCAAGGCACCATGTTTTGGAACTGCTATCCCCTGTGCTATTGCCAGACCAGATTCTACCAAAACTGCTTCCCAGTATTGCACCCTACTCAATATTAAGAAGTTCAAAGGGGGGAGTATTTAGATGTACCACAAGGAAGTCCAATACCTAACAGAAGGCCTTAACTATCATCCCTTGACGAGACAGAATCTTAAGAACGCTGCTCAGAATACTCCTTGCCCTTATCCCTGACCTCACACCCACCTCGGTGACCCCGCGTGTTCTTCACCACCATAGGGAACTCCAGCACTTCCGCCTCATCAATCATTTTGGCAAAATTCTCATGACCACCTGGCAAAAAGAAAACCAACAACATTATGTGCCACCAGTCTGGCACGGCCCGGTTTGGGATGCAGTTGCCACACATTACTCCCACCCTTATAGTTTAGAGAATGAAGAAAAAACTATCAGTTAAGAGGAATTTGGTCATGGAGCACGATCAGACTTTGAAGGTGTTTGTGATCTGTGGGGTAGTAACTCCTACTTCCTTTGAAATGGAAGACACACATTGACAGAAGCCTCTTGATCACAACACCAGAAGGCTCAATCCAGTCTTCCAAATCAGAATGCCCCGATTCTACTACCTTGTTCCAATTCATCCCTTTTTCTCACCAGCTCCCATCTTTTCAAATGTCTAGCAGGAAAATAACACAGACATAACATCAGTAGCAGTTCCATCCGAACTACTAACCCAGAAAGCAAAATGAAGTACAAAGAACGAGGCATAATACAAAGAGCAACAACAATCCAGTCTTGTCACTCCACCTCCGCTCTTTTCAAGGCTTAAGTCTCCTGCATCTCATTCTCCCTATTTCCTGAAGTAGTACTTGAACCATTTAGTCTCCATTACTTCTGTAAGGACCTTTAGGAGTAGCTTTTAATGACTATTTATATTATTACAGTTGATACTCCAAGGTTATTCAAGTTCAGCTCAATTCACAGAAGGCTGACCAGAGTACAAGAAGTACAGAAGAGAAAGTCAGTAGACAAAAGGATGAGACTCCTACAGCAGCATGTGCAGTAAAGCGCAAAGTCAAGCCAAGACCCTGGTCACGAAGCCAGAAGCAGCCATCACTAACCCTGCCATGGATTTTAACGCCTGTCATAGAATAACATGTCATTCAGCACATCCTGTTTTTCTTGGCAAAGCCAGGTCTCACAGATAACTTGTTCAAAAAATCAAATAAAAAAGGTCATGCTTCTCTCAAGTTCCAGAGGCAGATATTAAAAGTGGGAGTTATAAACAGAGATGTTCTGCAATTATCCCATAATTTGTGGTCTCCCTTTCAGCCCAGAAAAATTTAAAATTCCTCTCTCAGAGAGCGAGAGCAATCACATCTATAAAGAAAGTGTATGTTTCTTCTCAAATGTGTTTTCACAATAATTGAGTAATCAATGGAGACGGTTGTTCATAGTAATTGATGGAAACCCATGTTTTTATCAAGTTTGTTTGTGTTTTTAAGCTCCCATTACAAAAGCCTACCGGTACAACCCCATCAAGGGGAAGAAAGTACTAGTATTTCCCAAAAAGCAAAGGAAGGCGGAGAGGTATCTTCAGTTCTTTAACACATTATAATTAAAAGCAGAAATAGCATCAGGGTGGCTCAGACAAATTGTTCCTCTAACTGAACACTCTGTCATGAACCACAAACTCCAGAGGTAGGCACAAGAAATATTAATAATTAACTGTTCCAGTGGGCAACAAACCTCAAGCAATTGTTACAAGTTGAACACAAGGGTCTGCACTCTTTTTGTCCTTGCACTCTTTTTGTCCTTGCACTCCTTTTGTCCTTTCAAAATAACTAATATATTTACAAATATTTTTATTCATACAGAAATTTAATCTTCTTTCAGGTTTTACCAAAGTCTAGATCTTTATAATATCCTACAACATATAGTTCTCATCTGCTGTTTTGGGCAAGTGGTAAAGAGTTCAAAGCGGTTTAGTAGTAACAACTACAGTTAGGGGCTTGAGAGTCTGAGGTACAGTTAATGTATTTCAGCATCACAGCTCATCAACAAAGTCAAAAACAGAATCAGAGTCTTTTGACTTTAATTTCCTTTTCTAGTTACTGAAGAACTAGTCTCCTGCTACTTAACTGCATGGATTTCCAAAACCTGACTTTTATCTTTGCCCTGCAAAAACATAAATTATGGTCAGCAACTACACTATTCTTCTGATCCAAAAGCCTTACCATATGAAAAAGTATCTGGAAGAGGCACGCCATGACCAGCAAGTTCTTGAAATGTCCAGAACTTGTTGACACAGTTGAGGATGGCTTGGGGACGATTCATCAATCGACAGCCCATCTTCTCTAGGTGGCGAAGGACTGTGATATCACTGTCACTTTGGACCCAAGGTGTCGGTACACGCACAACCACCACTTGTGGGTAAGCAGTGATGAGCTCCCCATTCACCCGGAGACCTAACAAAGGAAGAGAAAAAAAACATTCCAATCAACTACAGTGTCTTCAGGAAAAGGTGAACAGGCAAATAAATACAGCACTTTATGTGATCACAACAGAAATATCAGACTTCAACAGTGAGTATTAAAACAGCACAACTCTTCCTAAAATGCATCATGTCAATCGTGCTGTTTCGTATTTGTCACTCTTCTACCACTTAAAACTAGGACAAAGAACAGACTGTCCTAGGGCAAACAGTTTTGGGCTCCTTCTCAGAGTGAAGGCTTTTATAGGTTGACACATCATCCTTTCTACAGGTGGTAGCTGCACAATACATTCACATCAGCAGTATAAATAGCTCAGGAGGTCCCTGCCTCCCCCTACAGGTTCTTACCTGCACGATACAACTCACACCTTTCCCAGTCCGAGCTGTATTGATCTTTGTTTGTGGTGTCATGTTACACACTATATTGCCAAAGAAATAGAGATTAGGTACCGCCCTTAGAAAAAAACCCATCAGTATTTTTAAACACAGACATTTTCAACAATTTGGCTTATATTAACCAAGCGCTCAGAAATAACTTTATGAGCTAACAGGGTGGCACCCCATGACACTAAAGCAGGAGCTACAAGGAAAGTCAGTGTTGCCCCCAAGACCAATGTATTACCAAATCACGATCCATACTTTTACAGGCTATGTCTCTAAAACACTGAAAGACAGGCTACAGGAATGCAATTACTACAGGATTGGACAGGAAGGCATTAAGTTTAACAAAGAGAATCTGGCATCTGAGGATGGGAAAAAACAATGGAATTTGGTATTTCCTTTATTTGTCTTATGTTACAAGTAAAATTTTGACTTCAGTGTAAAATACACAGCTCACACTGCTGTCCCCATCTTAAGGGTTAAAAAAGAGAAAGAAAGTGAACTGAGAAAGTGCACTGCATCTTCATCTCTGTGCCTACAAAAGGCAAGCTGTAACTATCCAGACCCAGCCCAAATTAATTACCTGATTAGCTCTATTCCAAAGGTGTTACTTTTCAAATACAGACTTGCAATACTGAACCTGGAGGCATGTATTGCCAGGCAATATATTTCATTTCAAGGTGCATCTGAATGCACTGGAGCGGGGAGAAGGTGTGTCTCTCTTTCTGAACTTCCTATTTTCTTCTCCCAACCAGGATGTATTTTAGAGTTTGCCTTAAATATAATTAAACAAGCACCTAACTCCCAAAAAGGAAGCAGACACATGCTGCCTAGTCCTCAGGAGAACACCCAAGCACCCTGTGGAAAGGCCCAAATGGAACCACATCCAATACAAATCCCTTTTTTCCAATCCCATTGCCATAACTGTGCAGAGATGAGAAAACACAAGCAGGCGGGTGCTCTGGCTGCTCACCTCATTAGCACCAAGCACTGCCGCATTGCAGCTGACATGACTTGCGTGTTTAAGCAAGCAGGCTTCAGACACACACACACCCCCCCCACTTCAGAGAGGCATCTCAAGCAAGATTAAAAACAAGACATTGCTAAAACCCTAAGCAGAATGGGAAGGTCAGAAAATTGACTACCACCTCCTTTAGCCAGAAAAGGAGTACAGATTCAGCAAGTAAAAGATTTTTAACTTGTTAGTCAGATTCCACCTTACACATGTGTTTTTTCATTTAGGTACATGCCCAGTTAGAGCCATTTTTTTGCCATAGAAATTGCACGCATGTCCTGATCTACGTGCAAGCTGCGTAACAATCATTTTCAAAGGGCTGTGTTTTCTACAGAGCGCCACAACCAGCGTTGTATCTTTGCTGTGAACCAAAACTACATAGTTTTTTAATTCATAATCTCTCAGAGTCTATTTTGTTGTTTTGATTTAAAGTCATACCACATGCTGAAGTTTTGCACCATGGAGTCTTGAAAAATAGCAGGTGGAGAAGATGTATATGTCTCTCCTGGAATTCTCCTGAATACCTGCATTTGACTTGACTAACAGACTGATGTAAATTCAGCCAGGCCACCATCCCCCCTCCAGACTAACTCAGGAAGTACAATGATGTTACCAACAGAACAATCTGAGCTTTTGTTCTACACTCAAACATTCTGTCTCCTCTGGACACTCTTCTCCCCAGAATTAAAAAAAAAAAACCCAACAAAAACTCTCCCCTCACAGAAGACAGTTTACAAAGAGAAGAGCTATTCAATGAAATGTATAATTCAAATCACTACTACTGACATGCACCATGAAAATCAGCTGCAGTCTCCCAGCAACACAGTGCTGCAAACAGAAGCAGCTTTATTACAGTAAAAAGGAGAGCCAGATTCTGCCATTTTGGAACAAGCTTGTATTCAGCATTCCATCTGAGACCCAGCAGCTAAGAATCAGGTTAATGGTCATTATTACCATGTGGGTTGATAAAATAATATTTACTCACTATGATGCACCAAAAGCAGCAACACAGAATACACTAATGCATACAATTAGCTTCTTTTCCTAAGAACCAATTCATGGATGAAGGGAGGGGGGAAAAAAATGTTACAGAGATGTCACTTCAAGAGTGGTTAAGAGGTAATCAAACTTTTTTCTTTTTTTTAAATAGAGATGAACTCTTTCCTTTGCAGTTACAGTACCTGTAACTGTCCCGCACGACATCCTGGTCTTCAGGCTGATAAAACATGGATGTGATGGATGGACAATTAGGTGGATAAAGAATAGGCTTGATGGCCACATCCGAACAGTGGCTGTCAATGGGTCCCAGGTGGAAGCCAGCGACAAGTGGAGTTCCTCAAGGATCAGTACTGGGACCAGTCTTGTTTAACATATTCATCACCAACATGGACAGTGGCATCAAGTGCACCCTCAGCAAGTTTGCTGATGACACCAAGCTGTGTGGGGTGGCCGATACGCTGGAGGGTAGGGATGCCATCCAGAGGGATCCTGACAGGCTGGAGAGGTGGGCCCAGGCCATCTT